CTGCTGAACAGAGAGTCATCCTGTAGTTATTTTTTCCGGTGCATCAGAACCTTTTTAATTTGAGATAGCGTCTGTGTTTTTGCTAGTCTTGCAGCATCTAAATGTGTTGGCGTATATAATCCATTTCACACATATAAATGTATAAATATGACCTATATAAATATACATATATTTAATGCCTCTTTTCTAGACTCTGAGCAGATGACTAATACAGCTGTTCAAAGGAGAAAAGGATTTTTTTTTTTTTTTTTTTTTTAAAAAAAGCCCTCTTGGCTCTGAATCGGAAATTGAGGAGCAGAATTCATCAAGTGTATTCTGATCGTTCTCACATGGGTAGTTCCTCCTTCCCTTCCTGCATAGCATGTTCCTTTGCACTGTTGCTGTATTACATGAAATGTTTCATCTGTATATAAAAATTAAAAATTCAAACAAAAATCTGGCCCACATGAAGAACAGGCCCTTTGGGCATATGGTTCATTATGCATATTCGTTTAATTACTAAAACACTTGGGATGTCTCTACTGCCCTTGCTTTCAACTTGTAAAGTTGGATCTGTTCTGCAGCACAGAATATGTTGAACAGGCATGTGTCATAAAGGACTTCAGTTTTCTCCTACTTAAAACTCTATATAATGTTCTTGGCTGGATTGTTAGAATTTACTGAATATTAGTTCAATCCACTGCATCGAAACAGCAGTTCGGGATCTCTTTTCCCTTAACACCTTCTCTAACCCCAAAAAGGCAAATTTTACAGTGGTTAGTTCAGAGTTTTCTTTAGTATCGAAGTAATGTGAGACTAAGGATTTCGATTTCAGGCACATTCCCACAAAGCACCTAAAGTTGCACGTTGAAGCTGTATAACTTTTATTAGCTAAGAAGGGATTGCTGTGATAGTGTGACTTTAATTGATTTTCAGGGCAAACAGGTGGTGATGGTTTAGGCATCCCCTAGTCTCCTGCCATTCCTAATTTGGAGCTGCACATATAATAGCTTTATTAAAATAAACAATCTTCTGGCTTTAGTTTTACCTGAACAGCTGCCTGAAATTGCAACTTTTTTTTTTTTCTTTTGTTAGATTGTTCTGTATTTTGGAGAGCAAGATGCTGTAGGTCTGCTAGTGGAAAACCTCTAGTACATAGTCATGCTGTCAATACTTAGGATTTTTTTGTGTTGCTGCTGTTGTTGCTAGCTTACAATAGTAACGTATTTAGGGTATAATTACAGTAAGGGTCCCAGTCATCTTCATGCATTTGTTCTGTAATGCAGCAGTTTTGTCACACTGCAGATGACGAACCTGCTGAAATGGTGTAAGCGTTGCAATCGCTCTCAGAATAATCTGAAATTCTTTGCTTTTCATTAAGGCAAATGTATGATGTCATCTTACTGCTTTATATGCGCTTTAGAGGTGGTTTTAGATTTCTAGTTTTGTGATTTGGGTTTACTGGGATTTTTTTATTTTTAATTTTTTAATTATTTTTTCTTTTTTGCTCTTTCTGCTCTGTTTCAGTCTGGAAACATTTCTTTAGGACCGGAGGTTTTGGAAAAGAGGGTATGAGACAATTTTGCAGCATTAGTGTGTACAAGGATCTATTTCTCATTTTTCCGTGCCATACTCGGAGGTTGCCAGGGATGTAACCTTATGTGCAATCCTCCTGCCACTGAACACTGAATTAAGTCTAATTAAACGTACTTGCTTTATTAGAGAGCCCTTGGTCCTTTACTCATTCAGCTCTCATATACTCTATGAACGTGAAGAAGGAAGTCATTAAAGTAGTTTAAACATATCGTTTAAGCCTCCCATTTGCTACCAATTGTAACCCAATGTTGAGAGCCCAAAGTTAAAGAACACTTCCACCAAATATTCTTTCCGCTTGCTCTACAATTACGTCACCATCTGACCCTCGCTGCTAATGTTAACAAATATGTCTCTAAAGTAAGTGGACATTTATCAGCTCAGCTAATGATACACTTTTTCATGACCCTTTTAAGGTGTTCACCTTATCCAGAATAAATAAAATTAACCTACTTTTTGCCTCCTTTTAAATAGCACAGATATTTTTTTCTGACACTTTTTGGAAGAATTATTTACTATAAGATCAGGCTTTTAACTTGCATAATGCCTGTCTTCTCTGAAAATAGATCATAACTTTCTGTGTGAGTGTAACTCTAAAACTATGACCCTGCTGATAAACAAACCAAAACATTAGAGAGAAAAATTCAGCTATGACATAAAACAACAGGTTTTGTTGGGTTTTTTTTTTTTTTGGCATGCCACCCCTGCTTTGGTTTAGGACCTTCCCCCATTGCCTTTGTCTGTGGTAGTTACCCCTTTAGAAATAACATGCAGATTTATTCCCCTGGCCCACTCCCAGTGGATTACCCCAAAAGATAGAATACTGTTGTAATATTTTTTCCCCTGTTTTTTCAATTTTAAGCTTTATTGCTTGAGGGTCTTAACTGTATTTTACTTGGTGCAGGAAATGTAAAATACGTTAGATAAAAGCGTGAGGGGAAAATTAGACCAGTCAGCATGCTAGCAAACAGGTATTTCTTCACCGTCTGCAGCCTACAAGGATTTGAAGTCTTTTACTCTAAAACTGTTGTACGTACGTAAATATAGAACACAAAACTTGTGGTGTTGTAGTTGGTTTTGATTTGATTAATCTCTTCTGGGGTTAGGGATAGAGAGAAAGTAGCAGCCACAAGAAAACTGTATGGAGGCACCGTGTTGGACTTGTGTTGGGCTGTTAGGCTTTGGAGTTTAAGTGTCTTAAAGGAGAAAGGAGACGCCCCCAGACACACACCTTTTTGTGTTGAAAATTGTCATCTGCACCAATTTGACAGGTAATTGTCAAATATCTGGAATGCAATATATACGACTTCTAAATTTAACAGATAAGTTCAGCAAAATAAACTTGAACCAAGCGGCTCTGCCCTGACACCTCATTAAAGAAGGATCTCTAAAGATCTTGGTTTTAATTTCCTAGGTTAGCTATTCTCATGAATGTAACGCAAACCATGAAAATAGAGGAACACCCTCACTTTTTACTTGGTGTGATTTTTATTTTCTTATTGTTTATCTCCTTCTGATTTGAGGCATTGTTACAAATAAAAAATAAATCCATTGAACGTGTTAATGACAAAAGTAATTCAGGATCAGAGTGCAGAAATTTTGTAAGTGTGTGCAGTCTCAAGCGTAGCATCCCAACCTTTCCTGATGAAGTTACCAACGGCAGCGTCCCAAGAGAATGGTGGAGAACAGATTGTAATATTGTCAACTCTTCTGATTTCGCTGTGACTTTTTGCAGAATAACATGCTTTTTCTTAAAGCGCCATTTCTGAGAGTCCTGTGATTGCACATGAATCACAGCTTTCATTTAAAACACAAATGAGTTTCTGCTTCCTAGCAGCAGCAAAGAAAATGAGATCCCCCCGAAGAGTCTTAAACAGACAGTGATAAAAAAGGCCCTAACAGATACTGCCTTAAACAGTATGAAATTTTTCAGATGTTCATCATTTTTTTGTTGGTTATTTTATGTCTTATTTTGGTGGGAGTGATGGACATAGGGGATTTTTTCCTTTTCTTTTTGAATGTTGAAACTGGTGTTAAAATTGTGACTCTGAGTATGGTTCCTGTCCTCCTACCTCCTTCCTTCGAAGACTTTATTCTATCACTTCTGTTCCTTGTCGCATCCTCACCCTATAAACTGTCAAGCACAAGTTGGGGCTCTTGGGTTTTCACCCCATAACCTCATCCTGGTCCACGTTCTCAGCAAGCTGGAGCTGGGACAAGCAGGGATGGGACACATGGGTACGGCAGCAGGACGTGTCACTTGGCCTGCACAGACAATCAAGGCAGGCAAACATGGCCATGTTGTTTCTGTTACCCGAAGCATCTTCTGAAAAAAAAATTGGGTAGATCTACACAGTAGCAAATTGTACGACCGCATCCTTTATTACTACTTCTCAATTCTGTGCAGTCACACATGTAGCACAGACTGAGTTATTTTGGGGCAAAATTTCATGTTTTGGTTTGGCTTTGAGGTGTTTATGTGGATTTTTTTTTTTTTTTGGTGTGTCTTTGTATTTAGATTCCAATTGTGATTGCACTTGCAACAGAGAGCTTGTGTAGAAGACCTAAGCTTTTTGCCTGTGATACACCCTTAAAAAATCAGTAACTTGTACGCTGATACGTGGAGCAATGCAGAGATAATTTTTAATGTGGCATAAATATTTAAAGACCTCTATTCCTTCAGGTCATTTTTGATTTTAGTCATCGCCATTCAATACAGCGCACGTTTCATACCGCTGTTGAGATGCTTTGCATTCTTTTGCAGGGGACACAAAAAGCAAATTGAATCTAAAGTAAATAGGTTTCTTCTGACAGTGCCAGTTTATTTAAGTATAATTTCTCTTCCTGCCACCTTCTTCATTACTGCATCACAATGAGGGAGTGACTCTGCTTGTAACCAACCCCTCCTTGAGCTCCAACTTGGTGGCTTGTGAAGTGGCACAGGAGTGCTCTCAACTGGGCACAGCACGGTGAGAGCACCATACGGATGCAAGGAGGAGAGTATTAGTAAGAGCGATTCTGCAATGCATCTTGGAAGAGGATCTGTTCATTTAAAAAAAAAAAAAAAAATCTTTGGGAGAGGGATTTTTTTAGTGGGAGATACCTGCTGCGTGACTACCTCAACCTTTACTTGCCATGCCCTAAGGTAGGGCTATATTAGACTAATTTCCATAGGCTGATTTTTTTTTTATATTCTCACTTGTCCGATGCACAGGCCAGCCCAGGAGCCCAAGCCTCGTTACTGCACTCACATCAGGCTGAGCCCACACCATGTACCCCGATTTCTGTTGGCATGGGCTCAACACTACTGTGTTCATGCATCCCTATTGCCTGTATCTGGAAGAGATACCTCTGTATATACATATATATACACATATGCACAAATGTCCCACTCTATGTGAATGTGTTCATTCTCTCTTCTACTCTCCCTTTCTAAGGGCAGGAATAAGTATCTGTCAGAAATAATTTGTTGTCGACAGGCTTATTGCCTCCAAGGGATTTGAATGCCCTTTTGGGGAGCCAGTATCCTATGTTATTGGCTAATATCCTGTATTTTCTTTGGGGCAGAGAGACTGAAAGCTTAAAAAAAAATGCTGGAGAGTTTGTCCCTGAGTATTTATATAGAGTCCATTTGTGCGTACATGGCAACTTGAGGCTACATAACCCAGACATAAGTTAAAAATATGTAATTCCCCTCCCCTGTAAATAAAGGGGAGCACATCTTTGTGTCTCAAATCAAAACCAGTGGTTTGGTTTAGTTCAAAACATAATTTGGACATTCACAGCAGTATCAGCTCAAGTTTTTCTCCTGACTTCATGAATTGCATAGACCGTGTTTATAAATTGCAAGGAAACTTTGGACGAAGCTGTTAGTAGTTTAGAGTTCAGTTAAATTGTGCGTGGTTTTGAAACTTGGAGTTTCGAATAATATTTTTCACAGCTCCGCTGATGAGGCATTTCATTAGCACTGGAGCCTACACTGGCTGAGAAAATAACCTTTTACCATAGGTGCCTTACATGCATTTAATCTCCTTTCACTTTTATTTTTTCCATCTGACGGAATGTATCCCTCTCCTTCTCCCATCACTGTTGTTTTCCAGGAATTATTCTGTCACATGACACAGCATCTTTGACTTCTCCTCAAAGACTAACCAGCTCAAAAAGAGCCTGGGTTTTAGAGTTAAAAAAAATTATAATTACTGTGTAGAAAAATTACACAGAAAATCCTATCTAATGCTAGGTTTCTAAACCTCTTAAAACTGTTCTATCCCATGGCTGTGGGTTTGCTGGTGACAAATGTTTTATGGGCATACTTTAGTAGACACCCGTCTAAAATCTGTTCTTAATAGTCAGATCCTAAATTGGAACCAGAGGGGCAGAAAAACCAGATTTGAAACGTGTTTCTAAGGGTTTGTTTTTACTTTCAGTTGAGGCTGCCTTCTCTCATCTTTTGTACTGCTGTCAAAAGGGCCACTCTCATGGTTGTTCAAACTCCATGCTTCTTGACAGGAACAGTTGGACCCCTCTTCAATGATTTTCAGATGAAACGGCTTCCAAACCTCCAGAGCTTTAACTTGTAGTTATTAGGCCCTTTGAAATAGCACACATTAATCAGCTGAAATTAAGTGGTCCTTTCTCCAAGGCTGTGATATTGCTGTTCTCTTCTAGGTAGAACTCTAGTCTAAATATTAGTTTCGAGAGCTCTTTTTTTTTTTTTTTTCCCCCCTCTAGATACATCTGTCCAGTTTCTGTTCCTAGTTTGATCATTGTTTTACAATGCTATGAATTAAATTGCTCCGTTCTATACTAGGCTTTTATACTCTCAAATTGCATTAAAAGAAGTAACGCAGAAAGCTAGCTTCCACTTGTTTGACTTGTATTTTAGAAATGGGCTACTGTCCTTTTAACTTCTCTCATGCACAGTATGAAGCCCAGTGGAAAAGGTACCAATGGTAATGGATTATGTCTTGGTCTGATGATGATGTGAAACATTGAAAAAATTATGGTTTGTTAAAACTCGATCATCTGAAACAGGGGCTTGGTTTCTGACTCTGACTTCTATGATATTGAGCAAGTGATCTGAACCTGTTAATGACTTCCCTTACCAGTCTATGTATTAGGCAAAAGACACACTGGGGATTACAAGAAATCAAGAAGATATTGTTCTTTGCAATCGCCATTATAGATATTAGCAGCTGAACCATTCTCGAGTTTTGGCAAAAAGTATCGCTAAGAAAATAATTTCAGGAGGATAATGCAGGAGCTTCTCCCAGGCATAAGGTATCACTGGGGAGAAAAATAAAAACATGCATGATTGAGAACCTTGTAATTTGAGGAGTGGGTGTCTGTATCTCAGGGCTGCTGATGCTGTGGTTGGTGTCAGGGAGCTGTGTGAGAGTTGATAAAATAGGACACGGGCCTGTTTGGGAACTGCTTTGAAAACCGATGCTGCAGAACTACTCAAAAGGCTGTTAGAATGCAGAAATATTTGTATTCGCTTTATAAACACCCTCTGAACTTTTATTATGCACTGTATATTCACAGCAATCATTTCCCATACCTCCAAGGCTAAATAATTTCTGAATAGCTAAATCAATTTGTCTAGTGGCTGTGTTGTGTCACAGTAATGAAAGTTCTCTCTGCTGCGGCGGTAGCAGTAAAGCAACTCTTCTTAAGGAGATGTGGGAGCTCTGTCAAAGCATTGCTGTCTGAGTTATAACTCAGCAACTGATTAACCAGTCAGCATAAGAAAGGAAGCAGTGGTGTGCCTCAGCTATCGATTGAGACTACAGTGAGATTTCTGTAATTAAGTTTTATCTAAGGTCTCAAACTTAATAATACACAAAATGTACTGTTGGATCTAAAATCACCAAGGTCTTGATTTTGTATCTTGCCTAAATGACCTGTGATTGCAAGGTTGTATTATACTTGCAACTGAGCAGAATGATGTTCATATAGGATGGTGACAGATGCACTAAAATTGTCCTGCAATTGAATGAATGAAGAGAGGTTCTTCAAGAGCTTCATTGACTCCTGTAGGACTTTGCCTAGCTGACTGCTGGTGGAGTCTTTTTGCTGTGTTAAGGGAAGACTGATTTGCTGATACCCCAGGGAAATGATGCAAATGCAACCTCCAACAGGCTGAAGCAAATGTTTTGAATTAATACCTGGCAATATGAATTTCCATGAAGGACTTTACATAAAGATCAGATGTATATTTATATGTGTGTGTCTATTTTTATCTGCCTATAGACACCTGAGATAGATATCTGTATAGATGTGTACAATAACAGGTCCTTGTTCTTTAGAGTGGCATTTGAGGTAGGACAGAAGTTGGTATCACCTTCCCTTTGTCTTACAAAGCAAGTGGAGATTCATCCAAGGGAGTTGGAATAGCTTCAGATGAACTTGTTCGGGTTAGAACTTTTCATTTATGGAAGAAGTTTTTGCTTGGAATATCACAGTTTTTGAAATCTTTATTAACTAAAGCCTTGCAAGATTCCTGTAAGACCAACTGGGTACCGTGCCTTCTTGGCCAGGATTCTTGTGTTTCTGTTGCCTTGCTTACATGTGAAATGTGGCTGTTGGAATCTTTATCACTTCTAATTTTTTAGTATGTTGAAAAGCAGGATCAAAAAGAAAAAAAATCAAAACCAAATCCTCTTCTATGTTCCTATGCTGCAAATCAGTAGTATGGGGATATATTGTTTGGATGTCAGCCCATTTTATAAATGAATATATCTCAAAGATTGTTTTACTGGCCTACAAATGCCAAGAACAGGATGACAGTCTAATTCCTTGCATAGCAACAGCTAACATAAAATCAGGTTCACTCTAGAAAATGCAGCTGCTGTTTGGGCAGGGTTATGGATGCAGTCATTGTTTCTTGGTTTATGTTTGGCCCCTGGTAGATATTAACTGGCCATTTGTCCGATGTTGGACAAGTCTTTTTGTTTAAAAGTTACAACTGCTGCTGTTTTGTAGGGGTATAAATTCCCACCCCGCTGAATGCAGTGAGAAGTGCTTCCCTGGTACAGTGTGATTAGACTTTCAGGTCCGTAACACAAAATACATTGCAATAAATATCCCATTCTGCAAGTGCCAGTGTTGCCTTTGTATGTCATGTCTGACGGGCCAAGGATGAGGGGAGGTAGAGATTTAGCTTTCTGATCATCCATAGAGTTTTCCTTCCATTGCAGTTTGAGATACATTAACTGGATCTGACTCTTTTTTTCACCTACCTGTGGTATTCTAAAAATGTGGGTTTTGTTTCTGATCATTCTGGGTTCCTTTGGGGTAAGAAAAATCAGATAAATGTGTTTGTGCCATGTCTTTAAAGGAAATTGTTTAAAATAGCTTCAAGTTACTACCAGCATTAATCAGTTCTTCTGGAAACACTATGTATGAGTAGAAAAGGAAATGGGATCACAACATGCATTTTATGGCAGTTCTGGATTCAGTTTATTAACTTTGCATTGCCAACCACTCCAAGTTTGGAGCCCATTCAGGTATCATTGGTACTTGTAAGATAGGATTGCAGTTTGGCTTGGTATCTTTTTTTTTTTTTTTTTTTTTAAAAAAAATCCTAAGTGCTTTTTAAATCCCCATCATGTTAGTTACATCTTTTGCTGATCTGATTTGCAGAACAGAACTTCAAAATTTGGCTTCTGGTTTTGCTATCAGTGGATTTTGTCAGATTAGACTCCAAACACACAAACTCATACCGTTTCTGGGCAGAGAGACTCCAAGCAACAAGTGAAAACAGAATATGCTGTTCTGAAAAATGGCAAGGGTATGTGAATGGAGACTAGGCTTACTGGATCCCTCTCCAAAATAATGCATCACATGCAACCTAGAGCCTTGCCTCCTGGAAGGTGATGGTGCTTTCTCTGTGCTGCTGTGCCAAGAACATAGGTGGATTAATGGTGAAGATGCATTTGCTGCTCATCCCCTATGGAGTGACAAGTGGGCTGGATGGCTCCTGTTGCACAAGAGGAAGAAACTCTTGTCTGGCCTGTGAAAGACCCCCTGGCAATTAGGGTTTGATGAAGTGGAACAGGTTTACCTCTATAAGTGCGTCTGTTAGGCGCTAGCACTAAGGACAAAGGGCTTTCAGGCTTGAGGGGGTCCCAGGAAGGAGTGAATAAAGCCTTCAGGGTAACCTTATGTTCATGGCCTTGTAATTCACCAGATACAGGGGAGGTGAAGCTAACAAATGGCAGCCTAATGGATTTAGACAGAATAGAAAGAGAGCATGCTTTGCAAGCAGATTTTCTTTGCCAAAATAATAATATGAATGAGGTTAACAGAGATTCAAGGATGAATGTATATAGGGATAATGACTGAAAGGCTTTCTTATACGTCTCCCTCTTTAAACTCTTGTACGTATTCCCTTCTGCTGCTTTATTTCTCCCAGGTATTTGTGGTCACCGTATGGAGCGTGGAACTGTACATGGTGCCCCTGGCTCTGCTGGTGCTCTTTGCATACAACTTCTCCCTCGTCACAACAGGGAAGGTCAACAACACCCAAGATGCCCAGGCAAGTAAAGTGGCAGTAACATTTCTGGCAGCCCCAGCTTGAGTTTGCCCTTGAGCAAAATGTCATGCATTTTAATGGTATTAAGCTAGTTGTGTAGCTAAACAGCATTTTTATTTCAAAGTTACTGAAAAGAAACCTCAAACCTCTCAATTTTCATGATTCAATTCAAGCACTAAACCATTCAGAGTAGTAGGAGAAGACGACGAGAGTGTGTAGGAGGGGGATTTCACTTACTAAATAACTACACATGTTTTTAACTAGGTTGAATTAAGAAAGACTTACAAAGCAACAAGTTCCTAAAACCCATGCCCCTATTGCTCTTACACTTTGCATCTCGCTGATGATTCATGATTCGCAGAAGAGGAAAGTCAGTAGAAGCCAAAAGAGAAGTTAGTTGTTTTTAAACCTTGTCCTGTGATCTGAGACTTTAAGATGCCCTTACTCCTCCTCCCCACCCCCTACTTTTAAATGACAAACGCTTTTTCCCCCCGAAATTTAGCCTTCAGTTTTTTAACTTGATCTGGGAAAAAAAAAGATTTAAATGCAGAAATAATGACAACATGTGGCAAAGTGCTACTGTTGGGGTGTGAGATGCTGTTTGATGTTGACCGCTGTCTTTACTTACATAACAGCGGTGATTACAGTGAGAAACTAGAGTAAATTTGTGGATGTCTATAATATTCGGGTCTTAAGTGTGTAGTAAGTACAGTAATGAAATAGAGGCTGAATTATAGCTCCCTTCCAAATTTTGATAAAAAGATGATTGACATTTGTATCCATGAAGAACACGTTTACCCAAATGAATCAAGTGGATTTTAGACAAAGAAATAATGTCCTAGAATTAAAAAGGTCAATAGCTGGTTTATTAGTTTTAGTGGGAAGAGTTGCTCCTAGTTCAGTTTTCATCCATTCCCAAGTGGAAAGACTGTTAGAAAATATGGAAAGTTGTGTTATCCAGACCAGGACATAGACTTGAATTGAAAAGAAATGGTAAAAGAAATGTTTTTCTCCAGTTTCAGCCAAGTCCAGAATAGCATAGAAAGATATTGTGTGTCTTCAGTGACTACTTGATTTCATCATGAAAATAACTTCCCATGTGGGAGAATCCCAGGCAAACAAGTGTTTTTATTTTTAATACAAAAGATGATATAATAAGAACAACTTACCCAGGAAAACATACACAGAGAATATCTTCCAGCACCTGTCACTTGTCCTGTGGTGAGTTTGTTGCATGTTCAAGTGAGGGGAGTCTCACTAAGTCAGCAATACTGAGCAGTACGTTATTTAGGTGGATACTACAAAAAGGCTATATCTGAAAATACAAGTTAATTGTAGTAATACTGAAGAAAGTTCCATCAGAAAGTTGGTCCTTTTCCTGTCACACATCCTGCGAGCAATGCCATGCCATGAAATTCAGGGGTGCCTTTTGCATAAGCGAAGTTATACATCTACCTAAGCGCTTTGTAGGATTGGGATCACATGGAACAAGTAGTCAAAAGTGCCTTTAATATTACCTGATTTCTTTTTTATATGTGTCTATGATTCTAACCATCTGTAGGTCAAAAATAGACAATCAGGTGCTACCCCTAGTCACATCTGTCCTGCAGATGAGAAAAGGTTTTATTCAAAATACCGATGCATTTTACACAGTCATTTATTTATTTTTCGCTTCTTCGGACCTTGGCTGCACATGCATTACCTTTGGGTTTTGTGTGCCAACATGCATATTTCATGTATATAGAGGAATGTGAGCAACAGTCTTTGCAAAATGGACCTCAAATTCTCTCTGATTTCTGTGCTATAAAATGGGAGTAACAGTATTAACCTTGTATGCATGATCCTGTTGCCAGGAGGCTAAATTTGTGAATATTGGTAAAATGGTTTATGATTTACAGATGGGGAGCTTCTATAGAAATGTAAACCATGATCAGCGTTAATTCAGCTGCTCAGGGTTTCCCAGAGAGCTGAAGAGTAAATCTGGGTATTTGAGCTCTCAGTACCTTCTGCAGACTAGATGCAACTGCTTTTCTGGGGGGGAAGAAAAAAAAAAAAAAAAAAAAATCCAACTCCCCCAAAACTTCCAAATCCAAACCATCTTTTATTGTGATTCTTCACATTCTTTGGATGTTTGTTGTATTTAAACTTGTAGTACACAGATTCAAATGTGCCTATTAAATAACCAAGAAAAACTCAGAGGACCATGTTAAAGGCTCAGCTTATTAAAATCCTGAATTGAAAGCCAAGTGCTCCTAATTTCAAGGCTTAGCCAAGTCTTTTGTTTTCTCCCCTACCTGTCAGCATAGAAGTTAAAGGGAGGAAATAATGCTGCATAGAAATCTGACTGTGATTCGTGAGATTGATTATGTTCATACTAATGTATTTTCTAAAGTCTAATGTTTCAGTAATGGCCCTAAAGGGAGGGAGCAGTCATTGTAGCAGCGAGGATGGAACAAGTTGAGTATAGAGTCCTCAGCCTTGACATACCGGCTGGTTCATTTGTCAAACTAAGAACAAAGCTGTTTACAGACAATAAAAGTTGGCAATGAATTTGAAAGCCTGTTGCCTTCAAACTGCTGGACACAGCCACTAATGCTTTATTTAGACTTAAAATTTGTATAGGGTATTGCATGCTTTGTTCAGGATATCACAAAAAAAAAAAAGAAAGTCCTTGAATACAAAATGTTGTTTCTGAAAGGTGAAAGTAGTGGGTTTTTTTGATGACTTGCAATAGAAGTGGGAGAAAACTGTGTAATGAAATGTTGTGGGAGTATCATAAGCTTTTTAAACATTGCCTGTCACTGAAAAATAAATGTAATGTTTTGTAATATGGACATCTGCTTTTGCAGGAGCTTATGGGCTTGGATGAAGATGAGGATGAAGATGATAAGGTAAGAATATCTCACAGTTGTGTTAGCTAGAATCAGAAGGAATGTGGGAGAACACAAACCCACCATCCTGTATCCATGAGATCTTCATTTATTATCTGTATTAACCGGGAAAGCAATTGTTATCAGTTTTCTGACTGGCAAATTTGAAAGTATGGGAAGATTGGTTTCTATGACATTCAACAGCGGCGTTACCTATGTGAGATCTCTGAACATTAATTGAATCTGAACAGTCCCCAATTTGTGCTTGAAATCATAACAGGCACATGTTCGTGTATGTACACTTATAAGTATGTGTATGGCTGGACCAGATGCAAAGACATGCATGAGTATGTAATATCCCCCATTGCTTTCATTTTGAGTGTTGGATGACATTCTGTACTAATGGCTTTCCCCAAATGATTTGGCATTTCCACTTCTGTGGGCCAGAATTGGTGTGATTTGTGGAGGATTGGTTAGAATTTTCTTAACACTTCTTTCAGAGCCTGGGAAAAAAATGGTTTTAGTTCATCGGCTGAAATGTAGAAAGAATTGGAATTGGCAAGGCCTGTTTCTTATTTTATTGGAGCATACTTACTCATTCTTCTCACTATGAAAGATTCATTGGATTTTTTTTTTCAAGTTTATCAAACCACAGTGACAAATGATAAAAGGATTAGAGAGCATGACATATGAAGAAAGATTAAGAGAACTTAATGTATACAGCTTGAAAAAACATAAGTAAGTGAAGGAGGATCTGATAATCTATAAATACTTTAAAGCTAAAAGGTGAGGAATTATTCAACGAGCAACAGCATGCAATGGAACATTAGCTGTTAGGAAGAAAATGTTCACAAGGCGATGTGAAACTTTCAAATTGCATACTAAGTTAATAAGACTCTTCTTGAATATTCTATGTTTTAAGAGCGTCACAGTGAAATTGTTGATCATTGAGAAGTAAATCAATACCACAGTTAGCAAGCACACCTTAACTATTTGCAGTCACAGACACTAGAATTGAAGCTCAGTGGACTAATTCATGGGAATAGTTATTTAAATTTAACCTGCTCTTCTGTGGTGGTTATATTTTAATGAGCAACCAGAAATCTGTCAAAGTTATAAAGTGAACTTTAGACAATCTTGTTGAATTACAGGTTTCTTGCAACACACAGTAATTGTTTAAATGTTCTCATTTATAATTCACTCTTTGTATCGTAAAATTGGTCAAGTAAATGGACCCATATCTGGAACTCATCAGAAGTTACTAAATGAAAGTTGCATCTTTTTCAAAGGAATACTGTGTATCTCTAAAAGTCGATAATTTCTATTTTGTGGATACCCAAAACTAGACACCTGTAAATGTTGACCCTGCATACTATTTGTGTGATGCCTAAAGATATAACTTATTTCCTGGAACCAATCCCATTTATGTTCTTTTTTAATATTCCTTTTTTTCATTTGTAAGTGCTGAGGTGGAAAAAAAAAAGTAAAAATGTATTCAATGTGTATTTAATCCTCTGTTTCCTGTGCTGTGGAACAGTTACATTGCTGCAAAGCCGAAATATTCTAGGTTACATTTACCCTAGATTTAACTCCAGTGATTTTGGTTCTCTCTACAAATACAACTGGGTCACTTAAATATGGATCTAATCACTCTGCATTTTTGCCCACCCTCCTGCCCCGCCCACCTTCCCCCTGCTAAAAAACTAACTTCACTGTCATTCTCTTTTTTGCTTTATTTTAACTAAGTATGCAGGTTTGGGAAAACTCCTGAGAGTCAATGTTGAGCTGCTGATGATTTGGCCCTACCATTTTGTAATCAGCATTGCCTCCATCTCCATTTCTAGCACACAGTGACTCTTTGAAATGGGGAGCTGCTAGCACTGCCTGAAGCTACTGCTCACAGTAGACACCTCCAGCAGGCTTTGTCATCAAGATAACATATTATATCCCAACATTGCAGCAATAATAATTCATAATTTGTATTAATTGATATACTAGTGTTACAGGTCTATGGAATTCTGACACACAATTACCAGGAGAGAGAATTGCCAGCCACTACATGTGTCCCATGTCAAGTGCTGTGCAGCATTGCCTTAATGACTTTGTCCTCTCCTGGGTATATCCCCTCTGCATCAGTGATGGACCATGCTTGCACTCTGATGACTTGCATCTTTAAGTACATTAGGTTATTCTAAGTAACTTTTCCAAGTCTGAGGGTGGCCAATGCTCTCTAAGGACTGTAAGAAAAATGTAATTTTATGACATTATCTCATGGCAATGTCAACATTTAAACAGACAACTAGACTTTAAAAAGAAGTCTGTGTATTTTTTTTTCCTCCCTAATACAAGAGCTCCTAAAGCTGAAATCTGCTGGTTGGGTTGTGGTATACGAGGTCAGTGTTTCTGTTTCCTATCATCATGCTGTATCAAAATACTCACATACATAGCCTTCCTGGGTTCTGCTGCATGTTAGACATAACAGACCATGCTTCTGGGAATTGTAACACACCCTCTAAGAGATGAACTGTTTACAAATTATAAATACACAGATGCTTAGTTCAAAAACCCAAGAGCAGATTAACTCCCTCCACCTAAACTATCTGTCTTAAATGACAGGGCTTAATTGCTAACTCCCCCTTTCTTTCCCCCCTCTCCCCTCCCCAAATACCAGCGTGGAGGACTGTGAAAGATAAGAGAGCTCTGTCCCTTTGGCACAAGCTGTTTGGTGGATGAATGCCTTCTCGGATTCGTGCCATCTTGGACATAGAGTTCAGATTCCGTCGTGTCAGCTCTGGAGTCTGTCAGGCTGTCTGAATAAGGATTGTTTTAAAATTACATCACTGAAACATCTTTCTCCCACCAGTAGAAAGGTATAGACAAGTTACATGCAGCTCAGAATGTAAGTTGTCTGATTGTTGACCATTTGTATTTATTTTACTTTTTTTTTTTTTTCTTTTTTGACAACGACTGTAGAGCTTCACAAGCAGACAGTTACCTTGTTGAATGAGTGTATCATAGCACTCAACTGGAAAGAGTCTTGAAGTCTTCTCATTATCTTAAGTTGTCTGGATAAAAGTTTGCATCTCCTCCAAAACAGACAAAACTTAAATTACTACTATTTCCAGGTCTGGTAATTGCTTCAAAAGAAAATCAGAGACAAAATTAAATCAACAACAGTTCCTGGTTTTTTGGGTTTTTTTCTTGGAGGTTTTCTATCCAGTGGGGAGCCAACGTAGCCCTGCTTGGCTAGTGAGATGTAATAGGAAAGGATCAGATGACACTGTGGCTTTAAGCCAGGTTATTTGGCAACTTCCAAGAAATGTTTAGTATCTCATGTATTGGAAAAAGTGGAATTGGGAAAAAATCCCCAAAGAAGAAAAAGCCAATGTTTCTAATGTAGGAAATTCTCTGTCAAAAATAGGTACCAAAAATATACGAAGTTTTACGAACACAGTTCAAAAAGACTCCAGCCGAACAAATTAAAGTCAAATTCATCCAGTAGCAAACAGCTGACATTTTCCATTTGAGTTAGATTCAGCATGTGGAAACCTTCCGTATGGATCTTATTTGTACGGGTGGATTACGATGAAAATTGCATTAATTTTCTCCACAGTAAAGGTCAGTAATTGAAACATGAACCAAGAGTCTATTGTGTAAGATGCTATATCCCCATACTTAGGAAAGGTCATTCAAGACAATATCATCTCATTGTTTTCTTCCCTGAAAGTATAAATAATTTCATTAGTTTTCCTCTTTTCTTTTCAATACAACAATTGCAATATAATATTTCAACATCTCCCATTAAGATTGCTGAAGAGAAACGATGGTAAATACTTGACAATACCCAGTGATACACAGGGTATCTTCAGACTAACAAGGAGCACCCTATTTCTCCACAAAATTATGGGCAAGATCATGCCCTAAAAAAACCCACAAGGTGTATTTTTGTGTGGGCGTGGACTACCTTAAATTGCTGCTCTTTCTTCAGTTGTCTCTTTCTGGCTCCTCTCTCACTGCTTCCTAATGAGTCTATGCACAGACCATGAATACACTAGTGATGGAGAAGCCTAAGGGACAGATTCTGCTACTTGCCTGAGCTATGCTCGGTGCAAAACTGGAGGATGGGACACTTCTAAGCACACATAATCATCTGGTCTTGTAACCATCTTGACTAAAGGGTAATACAAGTTTCCAGGTGTCACTTAAGGTGCAATTATAAATTTTCTGCAAGCTTTGTATTAACCCAGTCAACTTCTGGATAAGACAGAGTGCAGGGATGGCTTTGGTTGAGCTTTGCTCTTTGCTTGGGATCCTCCTGTGTACAAGAAACTGGAAGATAAATGGTCTGTTGTTATTTCTTATTTACACTGTGACATTGTTTAGGACTGCTCTCATCCATAGGCATTCCATAAATTGGCACAATACTTGTCCCAGCATCATGACCCACCTATTCACAGGTTTAGGAGTGATGGGAGAGAGGAGTTGAAAGGAGGGACTTGCAGAGGACTTTTAGGTATCCTGGTGACAGTGCTGTGGCTCTGATGTATAAACCTTAGCAGGCCTGTGGCAGTCTAAAATTCTCCCTCTTGTCCTGGAGGTAGGTAAGCTCCCACTGTAACCTCTCTAAATCTCTGGAGGAATATTAAGTAGCACTAGGCAGGCCACTGGACCAAGCACATAAACCTCAGGGAGTTCTTGTCCCTTCAAAATTCCAACTATTTAAAATGTTGGTAAAATTTCTTTTGAATTGCTCAGATGTATGAATAGGTCTATCTTTCTCCTGTACCCCAAATTGCTAAAGATCATTACCTAGATTATAGATGATGATCCAGTAGTTTAAGTCTAATCACCATGTGATTGTTCTTAGGTCTCGTGTATTTCCGGGAGGAAAGCACTTATTTTGGCCAAAGTTGTTTCCTTTCCCCTTTTTTAAATCAAAGATGACTGGTGACTTTTTATCTCCATTCAGGCTTCTTTCTTGTTGTTTCTTATGCCCATGTTCCTCAGGTGAGTGGTGTTTT